TCCCAGAATTCCCCAGCCAGCTTTGCTAGCTGGGGAATTCTGGGACTTGAAGTCCACCCATCTTCAAGTTGCCAAGGTTGAGAAACGCTGTTCTAAAAAGAAACAGGACCATCCTCAGGGTCAAACTAAGGTCCACTTTGCAATTAGAAAGTCAACAGCAACCGAAAACACAGGGCTTTGATCTACTTTTTGCCTCCTAAGAAATATGGTCCGTGATGGTGGATTCTCTTCTGCTCTCCCCGGACACATTTTCTTATTGCACTCTGAACCAAAATCCCCCAGCTCCCTTTTGTCACTGAGAACATCCCTACAGGACATCCATGGTTGTGTCTGTGCGTGTTAAAAAAAGTCAAGATGGTGGCCATTTTCTGGAACGCAACAAACTTTTAAAAAAGGCAGGGCTCCAACCGTGTAGTCACAGACACCCTGGACTTGTTTTACCCTCCCCGGGTCAAAAAGACACCTCGATCTCCTAAGATGTTTTTTTCGAGATGTGATTAGGCAACATCATTCACCCTGTTAAACCACAGCTCACAAAGATATTAATACGAGTCTCAGGAAGGCAGATCTTTCGTACATCGTCACATCACAGGAAGAGGATGATGACCAACAGCATTAACTACTTCCCGATCTGGGATCAGAGGACAAACCGGGATTCTCGTCTATCTTCCCCTGCATTTCCCCCTTAAACACCAGCCACGCAAACCCACTCATTTGCAATTTGGCTGCTCTTCTAAGGGAGAGTTTTTCTAGCAAAACCACCGAAGTGTGCCCATATACTTTTTGTGGGCTTCCAAGAAACGTACACCCAGAAAGCTCTTAACACAGGGAGGCCTGAATCTTATGCAACGTCATCAAGAAATTGAATCTTGGCCTTTGGGCTGATCAGGGGAAAGGCCTGGGGCAGAGAGAAAAACCTTCTGAATTTCATTAGAGAAACTGAGCTCTGCTTAAAGAAAAATACGGAGGTGACATAAAAGAGAAACAAGAGGAAGTCTAGAAATCAAAAGCAGCTGATAAAATCTGTTGAAGGCTAACTTGTACACACTGTTCCCTACCCTAATTTTCTTTCCCTATTTTCACACGAAGAATCAACGGTTAGCCCTGTCGAAACCTCTCATTCCACACACCACTTTCCTTACTCGAAAATCGCTTCCTTCACATTGATTCTAAAATGTGCAAAGCAAGCATGTTTGTTCCTCGGGGAAAAAATATGCTACAACACGTAATATTTTCCTATTATGTATTATCAGAAATATAAACAACCTTGGCTATTTGCAGGACGCAAAAGACCAAGCGGTGTGCTACGTAGCCCATACTCCTGAACTAAATTTATAGGCGCCAGAATTGAAAGACCACCCAAGAACAAAAGTACAACTTCTCAATATTTTAAGGAGAACCCAATAATCCAGTGTTAGGAATACAGACAGACCATTCAGAGGGGCATCCTTAAGGAAAACAGAGAGAATCTAATCGTCATCAACATCATCATGACCAGGGAAGAATGTCAGGGCTGTACCTGCACAGAATCTCTGAAAGTTGCTACTAACATGTGAAGACGAAGAACAGTGATAGTGGTAGAGAAAAACAGCATGCTGAGATTGGTTCTGAAAACATTTTGTGATCCTTTAGTAAGCACATTAAGGCCACCATGAAACACTGCAATGCCCACGCAGACCTTACCACCCTCAAAACAGGCCTGTTCTAAACATGTCTCCATATGGTATCGGATCACTTTTGGACCACACAGAACAGCTCGTTATGGAACTGGAACCTTTTAGGATCCACCATCGGAGACTTCAGTGGCCTGGGCAAGGATCTCCATTTTGAGACGGAGGACCAAGACCAGCCCTGTCCCTCCTCCACATCTTCTCAAAAGGCCACGTCTGAAACACTCACGCAAATGGGCTGGGAGTCTGAGGGTCTCTTCCTCCATCCTGATGGCTCGAGATACTGGGACATGGAGTGGTGACGAGGAAGGAAAATCGTCTACCGGACTCACAGGCGGAGTATACGAAATCCTTTCTTGCTGTGAAAGGGAAGAGAAGACAACATGAATTTTGGGCAGCAACCAAGAGAAATAAAACAGATCCCATCTGAAAAAGTAGAAATCTGCATCCCCAACAAAGAGAAATAGCTCCTTCCCAGAGAGAAATCACAAGTCTTTGGGCAGAGCGTGGTAGAATCAGCCTTCAAAACCTTCCCTTTCTCTCTCTCCCTGTCTCCTAAGTTCAAATGCTTCTTGGTCCCTAAAGGGTTCCTTGCAGAAGCCAAATATACCAGAAGTCACTTCTGAGATGAGATATGAGATAGGAAGGAGAGCATCAGTTTTCGAACAGCCTTCCAATCACCTACAAATAAGTTCTGCTCACCACTGGTGAGCAGATACGGCAATTTACAATTTACAAGTCTGCTGTTAAGTTCTGATAGAAAGATGCATGTAAAAGAGACAAGTAAATTATTGCCAGGAAGGAAGGAAGGAAGGAAGGAAGGAAGGAAGGAAGGAAGGAAGGAAGGAAGGAAGGAAGGGAGGGAGGGAGGGAGGGAGGGAGGGAGATCTGTTTATGTAATAGAATGGAGAGATCTTCCTTCCTCAAATTGCAATCTAAATTGATCCAGATTTTGTAATAAATCTATGATTAGAAGTTAACTGTAACTGAAACAATGTAACTCATTATTTCCAGATCATTCTCATCAGGATAAACTATCATTTAGTAGAGAAGAACATAGCCTATGGCCCTCAGAGATTTCCAAACATGACCATCAAAATGTACTACTAAAAGCAAAAGAAGAAAAATATTAAATAAATAACTGGAGAATCATATTATTCACTACATTTTCTTTTAATTCACTTCGTATACAAATGAGATGGAATTAAACTGAGGTTTCTTCTGGCTACACCCAATATTTTAGAGAGCACCTTCCCCCCTCTCCCCAACATGCCGGTCAAAAACCAAATGCAGCCCCCAAATTTGGAAAAAGCCCGGTTTTAGTGACACAGTTTTAAGAAATCCATTTAGCTGAGAAACTGATCTGGCCTGTAGAGCACATTAAGTGCTTGTTTTAACCACAATTGGCCAGGTTCACACATCACACTAGGATCAAACGAAACAGACCTTTCGGCGAATACAACATGGTAACCCAGTTGCTACACCATGTAAACTTCCAAGTGGAAAACTGGCAGGTCCAATGAAAAACCCTTGGAGAAAAATTCAGTCATCCAGAAATGGAGGCTACCTACCAGCAAAAATTAACTTCAAAGAGAAAATTGGAGTACAGTAAAAACCAGAATCATTTCACTATCTTGTAAAATTTTGATATCTTTGCCTGAAACCTTATAAGCTATTTTGTCAGATTGCTGCCATTTAAAAAACAAAAACAAAAACATTGCAATGAATTGGGGTGTTCTTTGGGCACCATCTGGGTGTCAAAAATGCCCTGATCACAATGACCCTACACTGCCAACCTCTACAGCTAAGCATCTCCAGGTAAATCTTAAGAGTTTTACTTACAGAGTAAGTAATTTTTTTTTTTTTTTTTACAAGTCTTATCAAAAAGGCAACACATAAATCAGTTCGCCTCTAAGCAACTGCTTTCTAAAGCAAGCCAAAGTCATTGCTGGACTCAAGCAGGGGACAATAAATTAGAATAAGTGTTTCTATAAACAGGGGTTTTCGCGGGTGGTTTCAAAATCGGCAAGGTGGTGGCTGTGGCGTCTCAATCAAAGCCCTGATCCTTTGCACACGTGTGATCACAACGTGGGTGTACCATTTTGCAGATGTGCCCCCCTGCCCCCCAAATGCCCTATCCCTGTACCTCCATTGCTGTGCAATGCCATTTTTGAATCTATGCAACTGTATAAATCATGTACAAACTCTTCCATTAAAACTTGCTCGGTTTCATCAGCACTACCTGAGACTCTTCACAGCAGTTCAATAATCAACATTTTAATCCCACTTTTTCCAACATTCTCAGAGCGCTTGACAGCATATTTAAGATACACTAAATAAACACCTTATTAAAATCAGCAACAAACATACTAACACAATAAAAACTAAAGCATTGAGGAAGTTGCCACCTTATTGATTTTCTAACTTGGGAGCAACTCTGGATATTAAAGCACTTTTAAGGTGTGGTTTAAGACTCTAGCTTGTAATGAAACTGATGATCGTAACTGCCTAGTTTGGGCAAAATGGAAAACTCTACATACTGGACACTTGGCTGGAGTGCATCATGTAGGAATGAAAAAGGCCTGGGCGTCTCTTGAATTATGAAACTGAGAAAAACTGTCAAGCTGGAACTACCTCAATCTGTGTAAAAATGAAACTGTCTCTGAGAAGAGCCTGATGCATTCAAGTAGTTGAATGGGGCAGTTCTTAATGTGTCTGGAGATCTAACAGAGATCTGCCACACTGGCCACTAAGCTGTGCTCATAAGCTTTCCATATGACTTTTTCTCAGTACTTCTCAACCTTGGCCACTTGAAAGATGGGTGGACTC